CAAACCAAACAAAATGGAATCACTTGGACTAAATGACATAACATCAACCTGAAACTTCAAGGAGGATGGAGATTCCAGTGCACCCAAGTCAGTCAACAAGGAAGTGTCTAAGCTTTAATCTGTTCACAGAAGCCCCAGAAGGAATATGATGTCACCCAGGGCTGGCTTGTTTTCCCATTGCGTGGTTTCCTTGTCCTCACCTTACAAAGCTCACTGTTGTGCCATGGCACCCTATTTTGTCCCCACACGTGCATCACAAATGAAGCCCAATGAGACTCACAGCTATGTTAGTTGAGGGTTTGTCATTGATTTAGTAAAGCCAGTAGTGCCACGTCTACATAAAAGAACTCCAGTCCCAAACTGCACAGTTTCCTGGGTGCCTGCCCCAAAAAGCCATGTGGCCAGCAGGATCCTCACCTGAGACATCAGTGTGTCACAAGCCGAGGCTAGGCCAGTTCCGACTGAAATCCCAGTAACGTTCACAACCTGCAAGACACAACAGGCCAAGTGCAATCAACGCATCACACTGAGCTGCCTCTATACTAGGGAGTCTCAGCAGTTCATGTTCAAAGAGCACATTCCCCTGAATACACTAGCTCTGTGTTTCACATCGGATGGGTATCTATGTGGGTTCTTGTCGATTACTGAACAAAATGTATCTTCAACCAAAGGACCATGGTCACCCTAGGTTAATCAGGAAAGCTTAAAGCCTAGCTTTTCTTTTCTTTCTCATTTTTCTTTCTTTTTTTTTAAAGGTGTGGTCTCACTACAGCTGGCCTGGAACTCACTATGTGCTGCCTCCTGATGTGCTATGATGCCTGGCAAGCCTAACTTTTCTTTTTTGTTTCTTAAAAATCTTTTTTTAAAATTTTTATTTATTATTTTTACTTTATGTGTATGTATGTATTGCCTGCATGTAGGTAAGTGCACCTGTGTTGTGCAATGCCCACTGAGGTCCAGAAGAGGCTGTCAGATCCCCTGGGACTCAAGTTACAGACAGTTGTTAGCTGCCATGTTGATGCTGGGATTCGAACCCAGGTCTTCTGCAAGAACAACCAGTGTTCTTAATAGAGTAGTCAAAATCCCCATAAAAATAAACAAATAAGTCAAAGAAGAAGAAAGAGTACATGAAGTTATCAAATAAAGACAGATGGGGAGATATGAGAGGAGTTGGAGGGGAGGGAGTGGGCATGGATTTGATCAAAACACCTTATATACATGTAAGAAATTCTCAATAAATTATTTAAAAAGAAAAAAACAGATTGAAGCATGTTTTGAAAAATACTAAATAAAGTTGTTTGGTAACTTTCTCAAAAAATATTTTATTTATTATTTTTATTTTATTTGTATGAGTATATTGCCTGCAGGTGTGTAAGTGCATCCAATGCTCTGCAATGCCCATAGAGGTCAGAAGAGGGTGTTGGATCCCCTGGAACTGGAGATATGGATGGTTGTTAGCTGCCATGTGGGTGCTGGGACTCAAACCTGGATCCTCTGCAAGAGCAGCCAGTGCTCTTAACCACTGAGCCATCTCTGCAGCCGCCAAGCCTAGCTTTTCTTAATGTAGCATGTCATTGCTTCTGCATCTGAGAGTTAAAGCCAAGCACTGTGGCATGTCCTATGGTCCCAGCTACTCAGAAAACTGAGGCAGAAAAATCGCTTGAGCCCATGGAGTTTAAGGTCACCTTGGTAACATAGCTGGATCTCACCTTAAACAAATTAAAAAATAAAAAGTTTTGACAAGTGTGTAAAGGCCATGCAACTCATCTCCCAGAGGATATGCATTCAACAATAACAGGGCTGGAGTATAGCTCAGCAGCTCTGAGTTCTACCCCTGGAAAACACACACACACACACACACACACACACACACACACACACAT